GAGGCATAACTCCTGAGTAAAATTTGATTTTTCCCCTCAAGGATAGGTGAGTCAATTCTACTTTGATTTCTAATACTCAGTTTCAGTCAACTTTTTGAACAAAATGACCTTTTAGAAATAGTTTTAAATTAAGATGGACAACTAAAAATATAAACAATTGAAACCACAAGAGTCTTTAAAAAGTATATTTGTAAATAGTCCACATTTATGAACATTATTATTTATTAGTAAATAGTACATTAGGGCAAGGGGGTTTTCAGATCCAACCTACTGTCAACATGTTAAAAATTACCCTAATCTAGAATATATTTTACAATGAATGACAGAAAATTATTCCAAAAAGAAATTTCTGTGTTAAAGAATTTGTTAGGAAAGTGTCATAAAACATAATAGAAAATAAGATTTTAATCTTTTGAAATAATGTGCAAAGACAGAGTATTCACACGGATTAATGACTATTTGCCAGATTCCCTGAAATGCTGCCTGTTTCCACTGAAATCAGTGGGCACCTTTCTATGAGCATGTTTCTTTAGAACTATATCTTGTGATAAGTACATTTTTATGACATTTACTTAAACTTATACTCATATTAGTAATTACATTTAGTACATAAGTGCCTTTATCTGACACAATACATTGTGTAATATCAAAATAGTCTTTTGAAATTTAAAAGCAAAGAAGAAAACAAATAAAGTTGGTTATATCATTTACATTTAGTATCCCACTGGTGGATACACAGGCTTGAAATCCATATTTCATATTTTGATCATCATTTAATTCTATTTGCACTTAGTCTAATATTTTAATGATATTTCTAATAACTTATTTTGTATTATATTTTCCTGAAAACCTTGTTAAACATTTTTGAAAGACTATCTTGCTTGTTTCTTTTTTTAAGATTGCCTAAAGGGTTTAATATTTGAACAACTAACTTGTTACCTAAAACAACTGTCCTCCTTAATCACTTTCTTTTTTTCACTATGCAGTTCAGGCTGGCCTTGAATTCACTATGCAGCCGAGGGTAGCCTCTAATTCTTAGGGATCATCCTGCCTCAGCCTCCTTAGTGCTGGGATTATGGGTATGCACTACCATGCTCAGCCCCTTAATCATTTTCAGAGAACGAGCAAAGATCCATCTCTGTACATATATTTTGCAAATGTTGTTACTGTTATTAGAAATAATCATTAGAACTTAAACAGCAAACTTGTTGCTATGACTCCCATACAATGCGATGAATTACTTAAATTTTCAAATTGATAGCACTTTAAAAATATACATAATACTGCTGTTCTTTCTGAAGCGATACTTCTCATGTAACTAAAAGTGTTTTCATAATCATTTCAATGTAATACTCAGCATTTCAGAATTAGAAAATTATAAAAGACCTGCCTCAGTTACTTTTGTTAAAAAACTTACCTTTGAATTTCTGATAAAAAAGTAAGAAATCCATTAGAGTTGAAATGTAAAATATTTGAGCTACTATATATTTCAATGTTTTAATAAATAATTTTATCTATTCATTCTAGAAAACTTGGCTTCCTGTCAAGTGTATCACTCAATGATACTAAGGCACTGGATATAAAACTGGCCTTCAAAGTATAAATAGATGCTTCTTTCTCCACCCATTTCTATCCTAAGAAAGAGAAGCAACCAGTAGTCTAGCACAGTAATGAGCAATCTCAAATTAAAAGACAAATTTTATGTTAAAGTGGTTGTTACCATCAGAAATCTGACAAGATCTAGGCCATGAGCGAAGTGCTTTAAACCAAGATTTCCAAAGTTACGTTATTCTTGGAATGTTTTTGGTGACATTGTGCTACCCTATATTACAGTATTAAAAATGAGCCAAATTAAGATGGCAGGGCAATGCCGCATTTTAAATTTCATGAATACCCCATGAGCAGGTTTACTTATTATATATATGACCTCCCTTTCTTTGAAAGTCAATATACTGTAAGGTCTTCCTGGCCCAAAATAAATGTCATAGAGAGAGTGAGATTATCTGGGAATAAACATTGCAGTATTAAGAGACAAGTATACAAATAAACATTTCTAGCCTGAAAAGAGGATATATTTTCAATTTTGCACGTTCAGCCACAGCCCTAATGGAGATTGCTTTGTGTAGAATTTTCTCGCCGAACAAACGATTTTTATAATAGGAAATGATACAAGTAAAAAAATTTCTAATTAATAGGAATTAAAGGACATAAATAGAATCTATTTTTAATGCTTACATGCATTCATTGGTTAACAACAAAGGCATCTTTAAAATGCATATTTGCAGCTTTATACCTATTCTCTGAGATACCATGTAGGCTGTGGAAAAGGAACCCGAAACAAGGCATACGCGGGAGTGATAAAGGCGTGACTTGTGCTATTCTAGAGGATAGAAATGCCCGGAGAAATGAGCCCAGCTGTTACGGCCTGAAGTGCCTGGGTCTGATCATCATTGTGACCCTTTTGAAGGAGGACCTGTAACCACCGGGCTGTGCCTCACTCATCCCAGGCCAGGTTCCCCAGAAAATCCCATTACGAACCCCTCTGTATTTCTGGTGGTAGTATTTGCCATTTAGGTTTGCTGAAAGGCAGGCATCAAACCACCAGCCCGAACTGTAGTAGCGCCCACAGTTCCCCGAGGGATAGCGGTCATTGTCCCTGTCCGGGGTGGTGAAGAACTTCAGGTCGTGGTTGTAATGTTTGCTGAACCTCAGGGCGTCCCCAGCCGTGCCGCTGTAGTTCCCAACGTGCAAACGGTACTTGAGAAACTCGTTGGCCACGTAAAACTGGTCATACAGGGCGTACAGCTTGACGCCGTCAAAGTCCTCCAGGTCTATTCGCAGGACCATCTCCTTGCTCTTGGTCAGAAGGTGGATCTTATCATTTCCCAGCCAGAACTCGCGGCGCAGGTTGCCGAAGCCTGTCTTGTAGTCGCGCCAGCCCCTGGAGAAGTTAGTGCTGCCGTCCAGCCGCGCCTGCAGCACCGTCCAGCCACCGCCCAGAGTCTCCATGTCGCAGGGCACCTCGAAGCTGCTGTTTTTGGGATCCGGTGTAACTCTGTAGTTCTCGCTGGTTCTTCTGCCTATTACGTAGTAGTCAGAACAGTCTTTGTAGATCAGATGTTGAACTGAAGGGAAAGGAAAAGACATTGGGCATTGTTAAAGAAAAGAATGCATCTCAAGAATTCTTTACTATAAAGGGTCCTGAGTTCAATCCCTGGTACTGCAAAGAAAAAAAAAAAAAAAAAAGAATTCTTTACCTACTCAAAACAGTGTGGTCATTTAATGCAGGGTCTGATGGGAACTTGCTGCCATACCTTCCAGGGTCTGGTTAGGAGACCCTCACGGAAGCCTTAGGACAAAGGCTGGGATGATAAATATAAATAAAACAGGACTCTAGCACACCCTTGGTGGCAATATAGGTGACAACATCAACTACAAACAGCAACAAGGAAAGAATAAGTGAAGTGACATTTAAGGAGGGTTAGGTCTATGTTCCAGGCCCCCTGCCACAGAGCAGATAACAGCTTCACAGCTCACTTTATGCTGCAGGTGTTTGGCCAGCTCGCTGATGAGGGTATGTAGGCCTCAGGAGGGTCAGGGGCTTGCCCAAGTTCACCCAAGCACCGAGCCGCAGATCTGGGTGGCAGCAGAGGTTATCCTCATGATCACTGCATTCCTCTGTTCTAAAATCCTAACGATTGTCATCCTCCTGGACCTGCATTCTAGGCACTCGGAGGAAAGCGGTTTCTGTTTCCTTTAGCCTGAAGTTGCTGATGGCTTCCACATCTGGGAGCTTTAGAATATACTCCAAACTTACAGTACAGCATCAATCATAGACTCACATTTATGTTGTCACTGGACAACTATGTAAAGAAACTCAAGAGATAAAAGTATTTTTTCAATAGTGTACCAAATTTGTTCTGCATTTATTATCCAGGAAGGACTATTCCGCCAGTGTAACACATGTTTGGTTCTAAAGGAAACAAGTTATTACATTCAGGATAAGTGTCATCAGTTAGCAGGGCTTTGTAGAAAACAAAGACATGCTTGATGCCAGATAATTCTTGTAAGTATTTGTGATAGATAAGTTTAATAGAAGACTTGAGAGTCTATTTTAAGCCATGAAAGCCTATTCAAATATATTTGGAACACAAATTCAGATTTTTTTCTCCGAAACCTTTCAGGAAAAAAATAAATAATCTTGTTTACTTCAATTCAAGTTTTCAGACAGTGTCAAATAAGCTGTGAACCTGTCTTGCAACATTCAGGGGACACGCAGATACCGGCTGCCGGGAACAGTAGCAAGAGCGGTCCTTATAAACACGACTTCCTGTCACCACAGTCTCCCTGGGGATGGTTATGCCCTGCGGTATAATGTTCGAGCAAGTGACCTCTGCCATGCCCCTCAACCTCACTGTTGGCAAGTAGAGCCCCTAAGACAGAAATGCCTCTCCCCAGGGTGACAGCAGTGATTCCAGGAATCCAGATGGAAGGGCGGGACTTGGGGGAAGCAGGGCCCCAAAGCACGGGGACAGAGGAGGCACGCAGGTCTGTGGTCTTTAACATGCACTTGTTAAAATTAAGAAACCTTGGCCCGAGGAGATAGCCCAGCAGCACAGCGCCTACCTGGCAAGCGCAAGGTCCTGTGCTTGAGTCACATAACAACAACTAAAATTAAGTAACCTGTTTTTCCGTGCTTGACTGCTAGCTAAAGGAAAAGAGAAGAAAGAGCTAAGAATGTGTTCCTTCCTTTGGTGGCATGCCAATTCTCCTCTTAAAACCCTGTCATGCCACTAGGTGTGAAAGCAAAATGTTGTACCCACACGTGAAGCAGCTTTTCTCCACAATCCCATCTTCACTAGATAATGAAGATCACGGTTATTTAGCAGGCTACTCCCTCACATGTCACAAAGGCCACTTGCAGCATGAGCTGCAGCAGTCAGCCAACCACAAGAAAAGCTGAATTCCAGCAAACAGCCCAACTACAAACACTGCCTCACTTCTCTTGTTTTTCAACACTTTGGTGTTTATGTACTTTGTGAATGCACTAAACCAGAAAGAAACTCTGCTTCTGCTTGAGTGTTCGTCTGGCATTAGCAAGTAAGATTTTGAAATTGAAAGTGCTTTCTGATGGCCAGAGCTAGTGATTTTTGTAAGTAGGTCCGATAGCATTTCTTTGGTGACCTCTGAGAGGCAGCTGTTTTTCCTGGACAACTTTAACCAATAAAAGGCTTATTGACTTAACCCATCATCTATTTAGCTTACTGGCTAAGGTTAATGTTTATAGACACCGTCATGAACAAATGATAAGGAAACACTGCTCCACATACCGGGCCTGGACTGGATTTGTTCTTGGCTGGAGCACTGGGATGAGCACTTCCCGTCCAAACTGTTGACCACGACTGTCAGGTTGGCCACCTTGCTGTCCACGTAGTTCTCGATGTTGTTCATATTTACGAGACTCAGCTTTTCCAGGCGCCTCTGGAGCACACCGATCTCCTCGCGGGCGCCTTTCAGCTCTGACGACAGCTTGTGCACCTGGCTTTCCAGGTCCTGCGCACGGAGGTCGCTGTCCTGCTCCCCTGGGGTCCCCGGGCTGGGGGGCGGCGCGGGGTCCCGGTGCTCATCGGCCTGTAGCCTACAGTCCTGGCAGGACCTCTGCAGGCTGGCCATGGCGTCCTTGAGGGCCTGCACCTCTTTCAACACCTCCTCGAGCCTGCCGAGCGGCGCGGGGAGCGGGATGGTGAGTGAGGGCAGGCGCACCTGCAGCGCACACTCGCCGGCCGGGCCTGCGCCGCAGCGCCCATCTGGCCCCAGCCCTGGCTCCAGCTCCACCCGCGCGGCGCACGCGGGACCCTCTTCCCCGACCCCGTCCCCGGCCGCCGCCCACCCCGGGGCGGCGAGGAGCGCGACGCCCAGGCAGCACAGGAGGGGAAGCTGCATCTCTGCGGCCGGCTGGCTGCCCGCGCGCTTTAATAGCCGGCCCGGCCTGCGCGTTCCCAGGAAGGGCGTGGCCGTGCACCGCTTCGGGCGTGCACGAGGGACCCGCGCGGCAGCTGCAGCCCCGGCTGTTGGGGTTCCTGCCCCGCAAAACTGTGGCAGCCGCGAGTGCGGAGCTCGGCCAGCATCCCAGGGCAGGGTGGAGGTCATGCGGAGCGGAGAGTTCGAGGTTAGCCTGGGCTGCCAAGTAAGACCCTGGCCCCCAAAAACAAAACAAGCAAAACGCACAAGCAGATGTCCCGGAGTGTGGCCCTGGGTCGGACACCTACGCGCAGCAACGTTCTTTCATGATTTTTAGAAAACATCGGAAAAGTCTTTCGTTTCCAATAATTGTTGGGTTTAAACAAACCTTTAATTGTACCTAATTCCACGAGGAAGGGAGCTCCGAAAGGTGGATGTGGTGTGCTAGACGGCGAGCTGTCTGAAGGGCAGTGCTGTTGTAAAATGGGAGCGAGGGGTCCCTTTGCCCTGCGGGAGTGGGGCACGGAGGACCTCATCGCCGGGCGAGCAGGTGACATCTCAAGCCCTTTTCAGGAAAGAAGGGGCAGTTGTCTGACGCTGGCGATGCACTCGTGTTTCAACTGTTTGAAAAAGAGGAAGCAAGCGGTAGTGGGTGAACAGCGCTGCTTTTCCTTGTGACATGTAGCAGAGCCTGCAGGATGCTCTGCCGCTGAAACGCGCTGAAAAGCACGTCTTGGTCCTCCATCAGTTAGGGCACCGCTGCGTCCCTGCCCTTCCCGATGGCTACGCTGCAGGTCGCTGCCCTCTCCCCCATCTCCGACTCCCTCGACAGGCCCGGGCACTGAGGCCTCTTCTTGGGTCTTCACCTGCCCACACCTCTGCACCAGCGCGCTCCTTTCCAACCCATCTGTTCAGAGGGCAGACAGGAGCTGTAGCAGCTTGCTCGAGGGAAACCTCCTTTTCATGCGTTTTGCATTTTGGCGTCTCATAAGATTGATTTTTAAAAGATTCAATATATTGGTATATGCACTGACCCCGCCCCAAAGTGTGGAACTAGGGCGGGGGAAGAGGGAGGGGCCAGGGCAAGAGACCAAAGGGCTCAGTGTGCACCTGCGGTCTGCCAAAATGATACTCATTAATTTTAAAAAGAAAGAAAGAGAGAGAAACAAAAAGATTTTATTGTTCTAAACATTTCAAAATGACTGACATGAATAAAAAACCAAATTCATTATTCTGTTCGTTAAGGCGCTCTGTAACCTATCTTCCCTTTATCTCTTTCCCTTGGTTTCCTTGACTTTCCTGCGTCCGGCCTTCATTCCAGCCAGACCTTCCTAGCTGCAGTCTCTGACTACATCAGGTCAGGTTTTCCACTTCTGTCCCTTTACCCTAAATTCCGGGAAGGCTGGATCTCCACGCAGGGACTGCCTCACATTGCAGAGAGAGAACCTTCGCATTCCCGAGCCTCCCCTCCTGTGGGAGAGGAGGTAACCCGCATCCTCCTACGGGAGCAGGAGGGAGTGAGGCTGCCCCGCAGACTTCAGGTCAGGAGCGGGGAGATGCAGGGTGTGGCTGTAGCGTGCTTTCCACGCAAACGCCCCCTGCACCTGGGCCTCGTGGGCCTCCAGCTTCCTCCAACCTTTGGACAGTGTGTTTCTTCTCTTCCTTCCACCCCAGGTATCCAGACCAATTTTAGATTGTTCTTAACTCCAGCTAAAAAGACTTCATTTTGCCTTACTACCCCCTTCCCAGCTATGACAATCCCATGTGGTGACAGGAAGCATAAATACACGATTAGACAATTTTTTTAAAAAAAGAATGATGACAAAATAAGCTATTATAAAGTAGAACCGCGCGGCAATGATGTTGACAGATGCATTACGGATAATTAGTACGAGCCAGGGAATAAACCAGTGTTGTCCCATGGCGTATTTATTTACGGTCTTCTGTATACTCTGTACCAGGGCATACAGAAGATGCAAAAAGCCTAGCCTTCTGACTCTTGCAGTGGACTTCATGTGTCTGAGTGGAGAATTTGCCTTCCAAATTGTACTGCTGATTCTGGGGGCCTGCACAACCCACCTCATCTGGGGCTAATGGCCTAAACTCCACCTCAAAAGCCTGTGTACCCTTCAGGTACTGGCCCTTGTCTCTTCAGGATGTGCTGGAAATTCCCCAGTGTATTCCCCAGTGTAAGCAGAAAGCTGCAGGTTAATCAGTTTCATGGATGTTTATAAGCGATCCTTAATGTTCTCCATATAAAAAAACTCCCTGGCCCTTGACTACAAGAAGCATTTTGTGGCCACCGCGTGAAAGAGCTCAACCCACCTGTGAGTCCGTAACCCCTGGGAGCAGCGCCTCAGGCAGAAGCTTTTCCTAGTGTTACTTCCCTGCTTTCTCCCATCTCTGCAATTACCACCTGCCCTTGCGGTTCTGCCAACAGAAAGTTCAGAGCCATAAAGGACCTGCCTGTGGCTCTGCAGCTTTTAAGTCCAGCACTGGAATCTGGACTTGGGTCTGACTCCAGAGTTCACGTCTTTCTCCTTTACTACACTGTCACATGGGGGCAGGGATAATACTGAGAAGATATGCTAGAACCGTATTTTAGAGAGCCCACTGCCCAAGTCAATGCTAAGATCAGTCTGGAAGCACTGAAGGCAAGAAAATACTCCCCAACACACACACGAGACCATTGTAGGAATGGATCTTCTGCCAGAAACCAATAGGGAACAGTGTTGTGGGAAGAGGTGTTAGTTTAGTGTCAGACCCTGGGTAAGAGGTGACCAGTGAGGAGGCGGCAGGGCGGCAAAGGGGCTGCAGACCTCACTGGCCAGGAGTGATGAATACCATGGATCCCAGGAGAGAGGAGAGATAGCAAGAGGGAGGGAGGCAGAGAGAGACAGAGACAGAGACAGGGAGACAGAGACAGAAAGAGAAAAAGAGAGGTCTGTGAACTAAGAAGTATGACCACAGTTGCACTGAAGTAATGGCGTGGCCATGGCCTGTAAAGGAGTAGACACAGTTCTACTTTCAGTACATTGAGTTTTCAGTGTTAACAGGCTACCAAGAAGTTTCTAGCATGAAGTCAGACATCAAGGCATGAAAACCAGAAGAAAGATGAACATCAATTTCAATGTTTAAGAACCAAATAGATGGTCAAATAAGATGAGAACCAGGGAGTGCTAGGAGAGAGGTCTTCAAGGGGAGAAGACCTTCAGAAAGTCAGACTGTGTAAGTACCAGGCACTAACTAATTGTGCCACTGGAGCTCATTTGCTGAATTCATGCACCTACAGTATATGAATGGCAATAGAATACCCATCTCTGACAAAAGTAAATAAAAAAAGTAAATAAGAAGTAAAGTTTTGAATTAATAGTGTTTAGACAAGATACCGTGTCTGCATCTTGTACTATGAATAACTACTGTGAAGACAACAGTATGCAATGCATTAATTATTGTAACTGTCCTACTAACTTGTTTTGAAGCTGTCTCATTTCTACTTCTTTCTCAATAAAATTTGGCTGCCCCACTCCTTGTATCAGATACTGATTTCTCTGGCAATGTCAGAATTGTCCCTTTGGGAGGGCACTTGCTCATGAGTTTTCAAATTTAAGCGAACTTAATAGCAGTACACAGTGGGCTTTTAAGGGAGCAATGTCTCTTTCTATTAATTCTATATGAAAATTACATTCATTCTTTTATATTCATAACCAATTCAGACTTCTTTTCTAATATGAAGTATATTCAACAGAGGATCTACATTTTCTATATTTGAATTAGATTCCTAAGTCTGCTTTTCCCCTAATAGTTTTTTTTTTTTTTTAAGGAAATACATCATGTTTCTGTTTGAACCAAAGAAATAAGTACATTTAATGAAAAGCATACATTGCTCTAAGGGGATTTGGTTGATATTAAACTCAATAATTTGAAATATTTGTGGTTTCTGACTTACTCCATTTAGCAACCCCTAGTAGTCCTTTGGCAGTAACAACAGACCTTTGGATGTTCTGCCCTGTGCCTCGATCCGTTGGGCCAGGAGCCCTAAAGAGTCATGTGATGTGTCTTCACGGTGGGTTCACATGGAGGCATTTCTCACCTGAATCTCCTCATCTATGCCCACGTGAGAGATTTAGTGAACAACCTAACAAATAGTAGTCTAGCTTTAACCAAAGCCAGGCCGTTCTTCTAGATATGGAACCAGAAAAAGTGTGTCCTTTTCTGATAAGAAAAGCAAAAGCTTCCACTTTTTAAACCATTTGATTTGAAATTTCAACAGTGAATAATGTTTACTGTAATATTTCTTGCTTTTAATTATTATAAACTTCATGCAAAGAACTTTTAAAAAATCCTGATTTCAGGGCCGGGGAGATGGCTCAGTGGAATAAGTGCTTCCCTGGCAAGCCCAAGGGCCTGAGTTCAAGCCCTGGTTCTGCAAAAAAAAATTATCTTTAACACACTCAGCCACCTTATCTTTGACAAAGGGGCCAAACATACTCACTGGAAGAAAGATGGCTAACAAATGGTGCTGGAAAAACTGGCTCTCTACATGCCGAAAACTCAAACTTGACCCAAGTCTATCACCATGCACTAAACTAAAGTCAAACTGGATTAAAGATCTAAACATTAAAGCAGAGACACTAAATCTCCTGGAAGAGAAAGTAGGAGGAACTCTTGAAGACATAGGGGTAGGCAAAGAGTTCATGG